TATGTCACAGAAGAGAACGTCAGAAGATACGCCAGAAAGAATGTCAGAAAGACCTCAACCGCCAGCTCCGGACGGCAGTGTTCCCCGCCAGACCTCAACCGCCAGTTGCGGACGGCAGTGTTCTCCGCCGGACCTCAACCGCCAGTTCTGGACGGCAGTGTTCCCCGCCGGACCTCACCCACGAGCCAGAAGATGTGCCAGATAGAACGGCAGAAAGAATGTCAGAAACACATGTCATTGTCAGAAAGAATGTTCAAGATATGCCAGAAAGAATGTCAGAAGAGATGCCAGAAAGAATGTCAGAAGATATGCCAGAAAGAATGCAAAAATGTTTCAATACGTGCTGAAAACTTGTCCGATTGAAATGTCCGGGTGGGGATCACTCGAAGTGAAGTATTTTTTGCGTTGCTTGCTTCTTTTCGGGCATGCTTCTATTAACATACGTTTGATCCCTCACTAACCATCAGTCACTGAACTGAATCTGAGAAGGCAGGAACGAAAGCCAGCAGAAAGGAATGTGGAGGTCCTGGTTGTAAGGTGAAGGGCAAGCGGAAAGTGACAAAGTACATGATTCAATCAGTTGTCAAGTTAAAAATCTTCGACTTGTTCAAGTTGTTTTCTCTAGCTGCTGATGCTAACGATGCTGGTATAACTTCTCCAACACTAGCTCTCAAACCATTAGCATTGTAAAATATACGATTGAGTTTTGATGGTTTAGACTGTATACACCCATTTTGCCCGCCCAGCCCCCCAAATAACTACTCAGGTTACGATGCTTCGTGGCGTCTTTGGGTCGGAGATGAGAGCCTGACTGAAACCCAGTCAGGAGGACAGTCGCAAGAAAATGTAGAAGAAATGGGGGCGTCAATCTCGACACCAGTTTCCGATGCGCGGTCCCGTTTCACGAAAGTTCTGAGAAGAACGCAAGTGCCGCGGTGTGTGCGACAAGGATGAAAAGAAGCAGATACTGCAGCGTAGCGTAGAAGTGTTTCAAATGTATTAGAGCCGAACGTTAACATCCCAACCCATCCCACCCAACCCCCACCCCGACCCCACTCAAAGTCACATCATCTTCGACCAAACTAACGTCATTAGCCCCGCCCGACCCCAACCCCAAGCCCACCCCCACCTTCCAAAGCGTGTGTGGATGTCACATCATCTTCGAAGCACATCCAAACCAACGCCATTAGCCCCCCCATCCAACCCCACCCCTTCATAGAAGCCTGTGGGTCATATACTACCGACCGGTAACTTAGGACTTGTGTGGGCCAGTGACATAGTAGTTGTGGCCCACTACTCCTAAGACATTGGGAGCACAAAAATTGCAGAGTTGCTGATTCAAGCCTCATGACTTGGGAATTGTCGCCAGCTGATGATCAAGCATTTTACTTATTTTTTTCAGGGAGGGAGGGGAATTGATGCACACAGAACAAATGACATAATAATCGGCCTGCTCATCATGTTTCATCATGCCTCCTGGTACTTACAACTCCTATCTCACGTCATTTATTCATCTTTTCCGGCAGCTTTCTGTTTTTGTTTTAGACTATTCTTGTGTGACCATGTTTTGATGTGTTTCTCTACTTTTAAAGTCCATGACATAGGAGTTGTGTACATTGCTCAAAAATGCTTTAAGACCCATGACAAAGGAGTTGTAAAGCCCACCATACGTTTTACAACTCCTTTGTCACTAGTCGAGAGTATATGTGAAAACACACTGAAGAACTTCACTATGGCAGGTCTTCACCTATCAGCCACAGGCGCCTGAAGGCATTATGGGAAACTACTCACTGCATTCGCGTAAACTAACTTCAGCCTAGCCTCCCGGCTGGCTTTCGTAACAAACACATTCATATATACCAAACCAAAGCATTCTTGCTGAAAACGGCAAACGGGTTGCAAACAAAGAGCAAACATTCCAACTATTAAAACATGACAATAAACAGTGTATATTTGAATGAATGACTTTTGTGTATCTTTTCGTTCGTGCATATGTATTAATTTCGATCTGTTCGGTGGACAATGGTTTCTTACATTTAGGATTCTGCAAACCGTTCTTTCATGCCAGTATGTTTCTTCCGTTTGGGATTCCGGGCTTCTGCTTCGCTTCAAGTTGAGCTACAGCCCCAGGGTGAAGAAACACAAAGAACGAATAGTAGGCTAGCAGCACCATTTGAGGCAAAATTAAAAGGCAGCTAGGTAAATTCCAGATGTAAATGTATTTAAAGACTGCTTTGCGACATCTCATTTGAGAAACTAAACATGATGTCTCATTTGGGAAAGCGATAATTTTTCTACGCCACTGCTCCGATTCCAAATACACACATTATATCACATTATCACATATCCTGTATCAGCGTGTGCCAAAGCGTGCAGTGTTGTAAGCAATTGGCATGATTCAGCAAGGTTATCGCTTTGGAGTCGGGCCTATCACTTTGGCAGGTTTTAGCCACAATGACACAGTGACATTGCTGAACATATCCCAAAACTGCGGGGGGTATGGTTATTGCTTTTGAAGGGGAGCGATCGCTTTTGCTTGTTTTAGCCAAATTCCTGAGATTCATGATCGCTCTGTACTAAATTGAATTGGTCATCGCAAGTTTTGGCACTTGCTTGCCTAAGCCGCACATGATCAATTACGAGCTTAGCAAATGGCCTGGTAGTGCGGGGAATCAAAGAAGAATTTCTGGTTGTCACTTCCAGAGCCTCGGAGGTGTGCTCGTATATAACAAACAGAACAATGTTCTTTCAAACTAATAGCGATGGCCTCCAACCTACTAGTGATGACCTCCAACCTAATGGTGATGGCCTCCAACCTAATAGCGATGGCCTCCAACCCAATAGCGTTCTCTTTTCTGTGGTGCACGACTTGTTTTGTTAGGAGGTGTAAACTACCTTGTTTGAGAACCTTGCTTTTGCACCGACGGCGTCAAGTCTGACGCACTCAGCCTTTGTCAAACGCAAGGCACTCAGCTCCAAGTCTGCAAGTCGAGATTCAAGGTGCCGCCTTCAAATTGTTGGCGTTGCCCTGGTCCCACTCCCAACAAAGGTTGGTGTCGCTCTTGACCTGAAGGGTTGTTGCAATAAAGTAGAAACCAAGTCTTGTCAGTCAGCATAGTTCTATTATATAATTTCAATTCTAATTCTAGCCATTTCATCTGGAAACGATTGGACACGTCTTTGCGGTTGAGGGTTGTCTCCAACAAATTAATTTGTTGATGCACTCCAAAGAAAGCCAGCCTTGATCTGCTCTCCAGACCACATGAACTGCTGATTATCATTGTGATGGCAATCAGAATGCATGTACAAGTTGTTGCTGCTGCCTTGAACACACAAGTGGGTCAGTCCCCTTGACTCACCCGAGCTCAGGAGCATGCTTCTTGACACACCGAAAGAACAACAAATACAGGTCAACCATGTGCGGTTTGTTTCATGTGCCAATACAATTGTCCACACACCTTTATGGCAAACAAACGCCAAAAACTGCAGCAACAGCATCGATAATGTTGTTATGTTACAGTAAATCATGTTGAATCCTCTCGTTCTTTGCATCGGTGGCCCTTAGCAAAACTGGAGTGCTTCCCACCTGCATTCATGTCAAGGCATCGGCTGCGGTCATACTGGACCTTGAGGATTGGGCCTTCAAACACCCACATCTGCTGATTGCCGCGATGGCAAGGATGGAGGTAAACCTCAGCCAAATGGAGCCAACCAAGCTCTGTTTTGTCGGCGAAACTTCACAAGGTCGACGTGACTAGAACCTTTGAAGAAACTACTAGGAACAAACAGCGACTATATAACAAGTGCGTCGCTACTAGTAACAAGGGCATTACTACTAGTAACAAGAAGCTACTAGGGTGGAGGAACAAAAGGAACAGTAAGATCCTCGTTAAGTTTCTTGATTCTGTGTGATATGAGGTTCATTTAAAGGATTGGGCAACTGGTGTAAAGGCATGCAAAATATTTGCAGTTTTCCATGACCAGCAGCATTGTTTCCGGTTGGGTTCATATCCAAACACCATCCTGGATCTTTTCGGCTCTTGAGTCTGCGTGGGATCCTTTGCAGTGCAGATTGACACAAGTTGGACAAGTTTCAAAGCTCAGCGGAATGAGGTGCATTCTCACTATCAATCAAAGAAACATTGGATATCTGTTCTTTCTCAATCCACCGAAAGCAAACCAAGCATCTCCCAATTAAAGTCTTGATTGGCCCCATCATGGCACCTTCAGCACAATGAGTTCACACATGATTGAATGACGGTGTGCAAAGGAGAGACCATGTTTTTCTGTTGTGGTTCCAAGAACACTTGACCCATAAATAAAAAAAACAGTATCAGTATCAAACAGTAAAGACTATAGACCTTCACCATTGTCTTGGCACCTGCAATTGCAGGACCCTTGAACACAAGGCAGTTCCAAGTACTCCTCCCAAACATCAAGCAATGGCAAACTTAGACGGGGGGTCATTTGAATGTGAAGCACGGGTTCCTGAAGATGTGACCGAAAAATGATAGCGACGACCAGAACGGGCAAAGAAAAGAAGAGAACTTAAAGTACGTGGAAAACGGCAAAAAACGTTCAGCCTAGGGCCTAGGGCAATGAAACAAAACGGGAGCGGTTCACTTGAGCCAGGTGCGAAGTGAAAGGAGCACCAAAACAGTGAGAATGTGGAGTTTGACATGGGGTGTGATGCGATAATCAAAATCAATTGGGATGAGGAAAACAAAAAACAATTTAGCATCCGTCCATTCTTCTCCCCTGTCGGAAATTTCATGGTGCAAAAGGCTGCAAACCAATGTTGCAAGGCGCACCCTCCACGTCAGTTTCTGAAGAACATGTACCAAAGCCCACTTGCCGGCACCCCGCGTCGGCACTGAGCATCCGATAATACGAGACAAAATCAACGTTTTCCAAAACTGTTGATTGATCTTGAATGATCTTTGTCCTCATCTGGACTCTAGGCTCTAAACAGTGCCCGGGCCAAAACCAGCGAAGCAATGCATGGAGGCCGGCTATCGTCTCCGGACGTTTGCATCGCGTGACTAATCTGGTCCACAAAACAAAATGAAACTCACGAACCCGAATGAATACACGCACTCGAAAACAAACGGCCAAACATTGATTGAACCTCTTGTGGGACACCCTTGTAGGACACTCTTGTGGGACACTCTTGTGGAAAACTCTTGTTGAAAACTCTCTTGCGGCACTCTGGACAAATCCATACGTCCGTCTTGCGGTATTGTTCCAAGTAAAAATGAATGACTGTGCGTCGTTGCGTCTCACCTCCGTCGGAAACACAAGTACGTCTGATGCACATTTATACACACAGATATTAAGATACACACACCATGCAAGTGAATGCTATTGCTGCTCTTCAAAAAACAACGCCCTTGCTCTGGGCCTTGCCGACTTTCAGGGTGAAAATACTTCGGCTTGTCACCAGGTCATCACAGCACACATCTGGGCCCAAGTATTTCCAGCAATGGTGGCACCACGATTGAGCTCGGTGGCCAAAGCAACAATGTCCATGTCTGCTGCCCAGTGAGTATTGCCGCAAATTTCAAGCGAGGCACTCACGTCACACTGTAGTCAGCAGAGCTGCTACGCCAGAACGCACTCTCTCGCTCCTTGTCATTTACAACCGCGCAAAACTGCACGGCACAGCAGCGTCACAAACATATTTTCGCCACATGGTGTACCGAAGAGCAGGCACAACAATGTCACACCAAGCCTACTTGCACGACAAAGTTGCCAGGAGACACAGGAACTAGCGTCTCGTACGAGACTTCCTCCAATAATAGTCAAACTTCAACTTTCCAAAACGAGCGCTTCGTATGAGACTCCCTCCAAAAGCCCTTCTTCCAAAATTCACTCATCAAAGTCTCCAAAGCAAACACTTCGTGCGAGACTGCCTCCTAAAGTCACACGTCAAAGTCGCCAAACGAGCATTTCGCACGAGACTTCCGTCAAAATTGCAGCGGGAAGTCTCATCAGAGCAAACATATCAAGCCGCCCTGCCAAACAGTTTCGCAGTCCGAGCCCATCAACACCACACCCTTTGACACACCAATCATCAATCCCACTGTCAGTGACATTCACTCCCACCACTCGTCGCAACCTCACGATTCACAGCGCTGCCATGAAAAATGAACTTCGACACCTCCAACACGCACAAAAAGTACCACGCCTGCCACGATAATGTGACGACATGGCATCTTCATGTCTTCAGCAAATTTTGCGCCACGCCACAGCACACTCACATCCACCAAAGCCGCAATTTTAGCCATTAAGCTGGGATTTGTCAAGAAAACACAGCTTCGAAGCAACAGCCTGAAACCCAAATCCCACTGTCACAGCGACATCTAAAAACTCCAACACACCACCCTGTGAACGCCAATCCCACTGTCACAGCGAAGGAAACTGAGGATTTTGCAATCACACACCTGCGCAGCAAAACCATCCTCCACACTTCAACATGTTACGTATCCATACGTTCCCTCGCTATTTCACGCGACATGCTACCATCCAAAAACCTCCTCCAAAAGCTTCCCCACTGTCACCGCCATAGCGACCCCTCCACACCAGTTGTTAGTTCTGGAACCAAAAAACAAGGTCACACCCGCTGCAACGGCCCCGCGCGATTTGCACGTTTTCACATGCAGCTTCGGGTCGTTTTTCACAACCTCTCTGGCACTTTATGGCGATGCCTGCCTTTAGCTCAGCCTCTCAATTCGTAATTCCATGATGAATTGACAGTTCGTTCGGGGACCTGGAAGTCAAAAAATGATTTCTGTGGTTTCATTCACATTAACACACTTCCACTCTTTGAGCTTTTCAGGCGTGCCACTCCTTCTGTGCCACCCCACCCCACCCCATCCCCAACGTAGTATCAACTTGGTAGCATCAACTTGGTTCGCAAGTGCAAGCGAACGTTAACACACCCCACCCCACCCCGGGCCCCAACGTAGTATCAACTTGGTAGCATCAACTTGGTTCGCAAGTGCAAGCGAACGTTGACACACCCCACCCCACCCCACCCCATCCCCAACGTAGTATCAACTTGGTTTGCAAGTGCAAGCGAACGTTAACACACCCCACCCCATCCCATCCCCAACGTAGTATCTTGGTAGCATAAACTTGGTTCGCAAGTGCAAGCGAAGGTTAACAAGCTCACCCCACCCCACCCCATCCCACCCCATCCCCAACGTAGCATCAACTTGGCGAATGGTAAAAACGTGGAAATTCTCCGGGGTCGTTAGGGGGGCGTGAGCAAAAACAACCCTAGCGCAAACCTCTGTACGGCTGGGTTCACTGTCACAAAATGCCTACATCTTGCATGAAAACGCAATGAATTACATTCGACATTCATCATTCATTCTTCCAGGACAAAATACAAGTAGGCGAGGTACGGATGCATGTAGAAGTTCTTGGTGTTGTCACCATTGATATCTCCACATTTGGCAGACCCCCACTTTCGATTGTGCAATCGATGGCCATCAAAATAAAATTTCTGGTTATCCTTGCACGCCAAAGAGATCAACCGATCAACCCTAAAAAGCGAATCTAAAAGTGGCAGCTTGTCACCAGTTGGGAAAATTGGTACAAATGTCACATGTCCAGTGATTTCTGATTTGACCGGTGTGCTTCCCTGTCTGGCAGCAAGTTGAGGGAAACCATGGGAATATTGGTGTCATTGTAAGTTTCGGAGCTCGTCAACTGCTATTTAAGGCCTGAACATGTTCATTTAACACAATCAAGTCATGAGCAAGATTCCTCTCCGTGACATGGATACACATATAGGTTTCCTTGGACCGACCAAGAATTCAAGCTGTATCTGCAAGCATCAAACATAACAATCATAACATAGCTGGGACTCAATCTGCTCAAAACGCGTAGAGCAAGGACGCTACTAGGAGCAAGGACGCCACTAGGAGCAAAGGGCATCGCTACTAGGAGCAAGGACGCTACTAGGGGCTCCTGGCCGTACTACTAGGACAAGAAGCTACTAGAGCAAGGACGCTACTAGGAGCAAAATCCCAAGTAGAAACCAATCATGCGAGGGCGGGAAGAGCTTCCTTGAAAAAGCCTGAGAAAAGAATCCATCCTGGTGTGGTAGCTACTGAAGCTACCAGCCACGGCCTACTCCCTTTCTTACAAAGAAATAAGAAACGCTTCTTAACTAGTCTTCGGTTCCTTCTCCATTCTCATCCAAACAGTTGCCATCCTCTAGATTCCTGAGTATGTGAATGCTCAAACGGCAAAGGTCGCAAACCACTCCCTGCAGTGTCGGCTTTCTGGGAAATAGAGACTCTGCTGCTACTCAAAGCACTTTCGCAAACAAAACAGCGCCAACAAAGACATGAGAATATGAACAGCCTGATTCGATCTTGATTGCTGTGATCTTCGGGTTCTAGCTACTAGGACGAAACAAGGGCTAAGGGTAGGATCTAAGTAGAGACCAAAGAGAACAAACCAATGATGCACACCCTTGGCTGTGCAACTGAGGTGCTTGAGCAACTCTCCGTCAAAGTACCACTTCTGATTGTTGCCATCGTGGCAACCTGAAGATCCAGCAGTCCAAAGTGTGTTGCTGTGTCGCTGCGTGCTTCCGTGAGTTGCCTACTGTAGAAGTCCGTGTTCAATGCCGATACCAACAACAATGTTTGTACATCTTGACGGGTGTCTGATGGTCCAATGGTGTCTGGTCCTGCCGCCCTTTCTCCAAGTGCAACCATTTCCAAAGGCTTTGTGCTTGTGAGTACTGCCATCTTTCCCTCACCATAAATTGGTGCAAACATCAATCATGCCATGCCCCATGAACGAGCAACGATCACCACAGAAACAGGAACCGAATGTCAGTTGAGTTGGATGAAAATGATGAAATCCGTCCCACATTCTGGCGAATTGACAAGATCTCGCCAGCCTCTGGCAGTTTCTGCGCAGGATTGCCGGAGAGGAGACTGGACATAGGGCTAAGAAATGATTGATATTGACACTAATTATATACAAAGCTTTTTTTGCAGTACTATAATATGATTACAATATGATTACGACATGAGATCATGAGGAACTCCATTGAAAACCATGTTCTCGTGGGAAAAGCACCGCATCAAATCATAACCCTGAAATGTGTCATATAATGTAATACAGTATACGATTCCTTCATCACATAGAACAAAGCTACAAGGGTTGCAGGGAAGTTGCGAGACCAAATTGTCCGAGTTTGTCATTCACCACACCACCCGCCAAGGAACCGGCGGCATAAACGTTGTTGTTTTCTTGGTTCTTATCCAAGCCTAAGTCGCGGATCACCACCAACGTTCGACATCAACGGTCCTTATGCCCCACATGATGTTTGCAGTTTTCCAGTTTGGCTTGTCGGCACAGGGATGCTCATCAAGATCATCAAGCATGTTCCATCAGCATGACCGCTGTCTAATGGGTCAAATTATCGTAATTCATAATAATCGTCGGTACCACAAACGTTGGAGCTCTGTGTCTAACTGAAGCAACCTGTTGAAATCTTTTGTGGCATTTAACGAGGGCAAACACATATAATGTGTTCTGTCACTGATGGTATCACGTGCTTCGTTGCATGTCCAGCACCATAGGTAACCAAGCGACTGATGAAACCAATGGCACCAAACACGTATTTGTGAAACGTCCATCTCCAGAACTCAATCGTTTGGAAAAAACTTGCAAACAATGAAAAACATGTGACAATCGAGTGAGAGGCACAGGTGAATGTGGCATTGCATCAACACCTTAAATCCGATAAGCCCGCATCCACAACAGCCAAAAGGCACAAACCATACATCATGTCTGTGAGACGGCCGGCTGGTAATGGCTTTGCAACATCAACATCTCTCCACTTCCTTGGCAACCGCAAGGGCCACGGCGACCATACTGAGAATGGCCACAAAAAGACTCGGCCAGGATATTGCCGAAGCAAAACATGCAAATCATAAGACTCTTGAACCCAGCATCTGAGATGGAGCATCAGGGCAATTTGCCATATAGACGTTGCCTTGACCGTGCTGCAAATCCATACACTGGTTGTCATGCCTGTCTCAGGGCGGCAACATCTCGAGCTGACTTGCAACTACAAGCAAGTTCTGCGTTGATGACAAAGGCTGATAAGGCTGCAACGGAAAAATGTGCAGGACCCTTCCTGCTGCAAGAGCCTCTTGCATGTTCAGCCAGCCTGCTCTTGATGTACTTCGAATCCCAGTAGAACCGTTGATTGGAACCTCCATGGCAGTCGTACCTTGACGGCTGCGGTCGATGAACGAATGAGAAAGCTGAGATTGGGAAAGCGATGTTCTTTATTCCTAGTAACCTAGTAGCTTCTTGTTACTAGCAGTAAGGCCAGGAGCTACTAGTAACGTCCTTGCTCCTAGTAGAAATGCCCTTTGTTACTAGTAGCTTCTTGTTACTAGTAGTATGGCCAGGAGCTACTAGTAGCTACTAGTAACAAGAAGCTACTAGTAACAAAGGTCATTTCTACTACGAGCAACGACGCTACTAGTAGCTCCTGGCCTTACTACTAGTAACAAGAAGCTACTAGTAACAAAGGGCATTTCTACTA